GTGAGAGGCCCGCGTGCCGCAAAAAAAAAAAAAAGAGCTGTGTTGGCAAGAGCTGTAAAATAGTAGAATGACACTTGTTAAAGATACCATCTTTACATTTCCAGTTCTCTAACTTTATAGGGCGAGTCAGTTACCGTGAGCAATGCTGCTTTTTCTGTAAAAATGTTATTTTAGGTTTCTACTGCCTGAGCTCTTATCACTGCCAAATCCCAGAAGGAAGGGTTTATCTTATTAGTTAGAGCCATTAATGTCTATGAAATTCTAACTTCTTAAATTATAGTGCAACATTTCTCCCAGGCTAACAGGGATATCGTTGGGTGGTTTTGTTATACTTTTCACTTCCGCTCTGGTCCAGTCCCTTAATATCCCTGGTATGATTCTTAGCAAACAATGTAGGATTTGGTTGAGAATCACATACCATAGTTGTTGCAGCCCCAAGAAGGATGGACTTACCACGTCACTCCCCGCTTACGGTCCTTCTGTGACTTTCTGTTGCAGTGAGAACAAAATCCAGACTCCTTATCCGGACCCACAGAGCCCAGCAGTATCTGTCCCTACCTCCCTCTCTGGCCTAATCCCCTGCTCGCTCCGTCTCACTCACTCTGTTCCAGTCACACTGGCCTCACTTCCTGCTCCCTCTCGTGAGCTGGTCCTGGCCGCAGGGTCTGCACACTGCCTGTTCTCTGCTTCCAGGAGAATACTCTGGACCAGAGCTTTGCATGGCTGGGTCCTCTTTTCTTTCAGGTCTCGGCTCAGGTGTCCCTTCCCCTAAGAAGCCTAACCTCACCCCCACCCCCTGTCCCTTACTAAATTCCCCGCTCCCTGTCACCATTATTCTATAATCTCACCTCGTTTTATTTTCTTCATGGCTCTTTTCACTATTTACAGTGCTTTTTCATTTTTTTTTGTTTGTCTTTTTTCCTGTACAAAAACGTGTGTTGAATGAGAACAGGGAGAATGTCTATTTTTGCTCAGTGTTGCATCAACAGAACTTAGGACAGTGCTCGGCTGTAGGAAGCATTTAATAAATATTGGCTGGCTGGCTGGCTGGAGATGGGTGAACGGACGCACAAGTAAAATGCAAACTGGCATGGCCATTTGACATTCTAGAGAATTCCAAAGGACTGAGCTAGGGAGAAGCAGAGGCATGGGCAGTACACCCTCAGGGGCAGAAGCAGCAGCTTTTTCCCTGCCGGGACAGGATGGACTCCAAGGGTAAGGTCCAGATTTGAGATATGTCAGTAAGACTGAGCATAGATGGGTGTCTGAAATGACAGCCTGGAGCTCTGCACAAATGAGAAAGCCTCGAAGAAGGGGTCGACCTTGGAAGGAGCCGGCGAGATCCAACATAAGCAGAATGACCAGTAGACAGGTCCAGGCTCCCTCTGAGCCCTGGAGACCACAGGAGGGGAAACCGGAGTGATGCTTTGGTATTAGAAACTGAGGCAGAGGGGACTGGGGGTGTCGACGGCTCCTTTGGAGGGGGTAGGTGGCAGCTGCTGCCACTGTAACTGCTGCCAGTTTGATTCCCCTCTGAGAGCTTCAGAGCTCTGGGGGGAGGTGGCAGAAGGCAGTTTCCATATCCATCTTGGTGAGCAGCATCTAGCTTTTTAACCCAAAGTCCTGCAATGGCAACTTTAAATCTGAACAAGGTCTCTGGAAGGTAGAACCTTAGAGCACCCAGGTTGGATCCAGGACTGGGTCGGGGCCGCTGGGTTTAAAGGTTCTATGCCTCTTTCTTAGAATCTTGGACTATTGTAACTGGAAGGATCAACTAGTCTAATGACCTTACTTTTATAAATAAGGAGCAGAGCCAGGAAGGGTAAGTTGTTATTGGAGACTGAAACTCTGATTCCTACGTTAGGCTTTTTGCGCTACACCTGATTTTCCCTGTTCGTGGGACACAAGTTGCTTAGCATATAAACAGGTGTCACTCATTAAAAACCATGAGATATTTAATCATCAGATAATAATAATGCAAATTAAGATAGTTAATATTTATTCAGTGCTTTCTGTATTCCAGGCCCTGTTCTCAACGATTTGTACTTATTCGTTCATTTCATTTCTATGAGAAACACCATGAGGAAGGTATATTATCAATATTATTCCCATTCCACAGGTACAGAAACTGAGCCAGGGAGATTAGCTTGCCCACACTCACACAGCTAGTGAGCGGAGGAACAGAAGGTTCAAAGCCTGGCTGTAGACCGCACCTCCACCCCCATTCTTAACCACCAGATAATGTTGCCTATTAAAAGAAGTTTGGTTAAACAAGGTTAGATCTTTTTTTTTTAGCTGCAAGACTTTTCAGGGCCTTTCAAGTGTATACAGGGGCAGTGTGACCCTCCTAGCTGAAGAATGTAGTAAATGCTTTTAAAACTTGATATCAGGAAGACTTTTTCTCAGGGCGTTTTATGGGATTAATGCTCTCAGAGCACAGATGGGGAGACAGTGTCCTGTCTGATCTTGAAAGATTTGGATGACCGTGACCGAGGCAGAGCACTCACCTTCTCAGTCTTTGTGTCAGCCTTGTTTATCTCCCAGAAG